CAGTGGCATGATCTTGGCAAACTGCAACCTCTGCCTCCCAGGCTCAAGCCATCCTCCCACCTCAGCCTCCTGAGCTACTGGGACTGCAGGCACAGGCTATCATGCCCAGCTAATTTTTGTATTTTTTTGTAGAGACAGGGTTTCCCCATTTTGCTGGTCTTGAACTCCTGGGTTCAAGCAATCTACGCACCTCAGCCTCCCAAAGTGCTAGGCCTGAGCCACCATGCCCAGCCAGTATTTCTTATTTATTTATCTAATTTTTATATAACCAATCTGGCTTTCTTTTGATTAACGTTTCAATTTTTCAGCTGGGTGTTTGGCTCCCTGTCTTTTTTTTTCTTTTCTTTTTTTTTAGTGCTTGCTCTAGGCATTACAATATACATATATCAATTATTTCACAGCTTTCTTAGAGTTAGTAATTTACCATTTAAAATAAAATGCAAAAACCTATAGCACATTCACTAAATCTTCCCCTCTATGTTATATGTATATATCTACACATTGACATCATTACCACATAATGTTATTATTTTTGCTATCAAATATATATATATATATATATATATATATATATATATATATTTGCACAGGTGTGATAGATTATCAGGTTGGATTCTTTTTAAACTATAAAACCAAACTCTATACTGTCTATAAGAAGCCCACTTTATAAAAGGAGAAAAATATTCTTTGATATTTACCCAGCTACTACTTTTGTTCTTCCTTCAGTTCTGAAGTTCTGAGTTTCTCTCTGGGATCATTTCCCTTCAAACTTAAGCATTTCTTTTAGAGCTTTTATATTTACCCATATACTTCCTTAAATTTTAAAGTTCTGAGTCTCTCTGTTAAGCCTTTCTTTTAAAACAGTTTTACTGCTGATAAATCTTCTTAATTTTCTGTCATCTGAGAGTATGTTTATTTTACCATCTTCTTGAAGGGCATTTTCACTGGATTGATACAAATCTGTGGCATTGTGTATCATTTCATCTCTCCATGGTTGTACTCATTCTTTTCTTCTGATATCTTTGTTAATCCTTTCTTCATCTATTAAAACCTATTAGACATTTTTATTTATTTTTATTTTATTTTATTTTTTTGGCAGATAGATAGCATCTATTAGACATTTTTAAAAGGTAAAAGCTTTTAAGCTGCTGTTAAACTCACCTATTGAGTTCTTGATTTTAGTTAGTGTGCTTTTTAGTTCTGAAACTTCCATTTGTTTCTTTTTTTTCTTTTTTTTTTAACTTAGCATTCTGGGAGTATATCTTTTTTTCATATTATAGTTGTCTTATGAAATTCTCCCATTTGCCTCATATTTTCTTGAACATAATGGCAGTTCTTTAACATCTGTATCTGATAACTCCAAAATCTGGATTACAAATGGCAGAGTAACTGCTATTCTAGAAATCTATTTCCAGAGCACATGTCCTTAAAAAACAAAGACAAAATATATATATTTTTGAGACAAAGTCTCCCTCTATCACCCAGGCCAGAGTGCAGTGGCACGATCTCAGCTCACTGCAACCTCCGCCTCCCCAAGTTCTACTTGAGAGGCTGAGGCAGGAGAATTGCTTGAACCCAGGAGGTAGAGGTTGCAGTGAACCGAGATCACATCACTACACTCCAGCCTGGGCAAAAGAGCAAGACTCTATCTTGGAAATCAATCAGTCAGTCAATCAGTCATGTGGCCGTTTATGTGAGGGTCTGTTCCTAGGATCTCCAGTCTGTCCCATTGTTCTGTCATCCACCATGTCAGTGCTATCCTGTCACAATAAGTGAGAGTTTTTCCTTGCTATATTCTCACGTAGAGCCAAGCAGAATAACTACAGGGCTTGGAGTCCCATTTCTGCAGGAAGTATAGGTGGTTGGAATTCTGACACCAGATAAACCAAGTTTGCTGGAAAAAGAATTCCTATTTTAGGCAAAAGCTTCATTGGAAGTTTGCGGCACCCCCTCCACATTGTTCAGTGCTGTTCAGAGTGTTGCTGCTGTGGTGCTATAAATGCTCCTGGCAGCTCTCAGGTTTTCTTTCTTTCCAGCTAGCCTCCTCCTAACTTCCCACTCCAGCCAAAAAAAAGATGGTACTGTATAAAGTCTCTGATGATAGATAAAAATCCTTTAAAGTGAATTATTAATCTTGAGCTTTCAGCAAATAAAAAAATTAAGTTTTGATTTGGTTCTGATTCTCAGTTTTCCTTTATATGTTGGAATGTAATGCTTCTTTCAATTTTATTTTATTTTATTTTGTTTTTTTGAGACAGAGTCGTGCTGAAATGCAGTGATGTGATCTCAGATCACTGCAACCTTCACCTTCCAGGTTCGAGTGATTCTCCTGCCTCAGCCTCTTGACTAGCTGGGCCTACAGGCATGTGCCACCATGCCCCACTAATTTTTTGCATTTTTAGTAGAGATGGGGTTTCACCATGTTGGCCAGGCTGGTTTTGAACTCCTGACCTCAAGTGATTTGCCCCCCTCAGCCTCCCAAAGTGCTAGGATTACAGGCATGAGCCACCACACCCAGCCTCAATTTTATATTTTAGTTTTTTTTCTCTTCTCTCTCTTTTTTACCATGAGCATCTGTTTAACTTTTTAATCTTCCTTAATCATAATATTTTAAAGTATTTTAATTAAAACAGGCTGAGTGTAGCAGCTCATGCCTGTAATCCCAGCACTTTGGTAGGCTGAGGCAGGTGGATCACTTGAGCCCAGGAGTTCAAGACCAGCCTGCGCAATATGACGAAACTCTGTCTCTACAATGTACAAAAAAAATTACCCGGGTGTGGTGGTGCATGCCTGTAGTCCCAGCTATTCAGTAGGCCAAGACCAGAGGATCACTTGAGCTCGAGGTGGTCAAGGCTGACTGCAGTGAGCCATGAGTGGGCCATTGCACTTCAGCCTGGGCAACAGAGTGACAGGGTCCTGCTTGTTTTTGGAGATAGGGTCTTGCTCTGTTTCCCAGGCTGGAGTGCAATGGTGTGATCTCTGCTCAGTGCAACCTCTGCTGCCAGGTTCAAGCGATTCTCCTGCTTCAGCCTCCTGAGTTGCTGGGATTACAGGCATGTGCCACAATGCCCAACTAATTTTTTTAAGTGGAGAGTCAGGGTTTCACCATGTTGTCCAGGCTGGTCTCAAACTCCTGACCTCAAGTGATCTACCTGCCTTGGCCTCCCAAATGTGCTGAGATTGCACGTGTGAGCCACCTCTCCTAGCCAAGAACATTTTAATAAAAGCAAAAGTTAAGGATATTCTTGTGTAGAACAGAGATTTTTTTTTTTTAATGTGATGTGTTCTTGTCGATGCACGTTGAATATGAATGGGAGAAGAAATTTTTTTTTTTTTTGAGACGGGGTCTCGCTATGTTGCCCAGGGTGGAGTGTAGTGGCTATTCACAGGTGCGACGTCACTGCTGATCAGCACGGATTCACCAAGTTCGCAGTGCCAAACTTAGTGCAGACACCCGATCGGCATAGTGCACTACAGCCCAGAACTCCTGGGCTCAAGCGATCCTCCCACCTCAAGCCTCCCAAGTAGTTGGGACTACAGGCATATGACCGGCGAGAGAAGAATTTTTATTATAATTAGTTTTTAAATGGCTTATCTTAAAAGAACCATTTAAACCAAAATAGTTTTTGAAGGTTTAAATGTATCTATTAAAATATTTTTCTTTTTAGGAAAAAAGAAAAGGAGATTGAAGTTTGTGGGGGGCTGAGGGAGGATTGACCTTGGCTCCAAGTTCACAAAGACCTCGGTTCTTTATTAAAGTCAGGAGTCAAAACCTACATCTAGAGCTACATCTTAGCATCTCAGAATTAGTCACATGTATGCCAGTTCCCTATGTCTTTGTCTTTGGCTGTTTTTGTTTTTTTGTTTTGTTTTGTTTTGTTTTGAGACAGAGTTTTGCTCTTTTGCCCAGGCCAGAGTGAAGTGGCCCAATCTCGCCTCACTGCAGCTGCAACCTCCGCCCCCTGTATTCAAGTGGTTCTCCTGCCTCAGACTCCTGAGTAGCTGGCGTTATAGGTGCCCGCCACCACGCCTGGCTAATTTTTCTGTTTTTAGTAAAGACAGAGTTTCACCATGTTGGCCAGGCTGCTCTCTTAACTCCTGACCTCAGGTGATCCACCCGCCTTGGCCTCCCAAAGAACTATGATTATAGGCATGAGCCACTGTTCCCAGTCGGCCCCTGTATCTTTTTCCTTCCAAATATACAGCTGTGTAGGACAGTTATCTCTGGTAACCCTAGAGTCATTGTAGCACATTTTATTTACTGAGATGAATGTTTTGCCTCAGGATTCAGTTGGGTGAAAAATCAGGGAAGATCTTTATAAAACAGAAATGGCATAGGTTTTCTGTAATGGTTGTAGATAAGAGGTATTTATTTCTAAATAATAGATGTATGGTTATCATAATGAAATATACTTGTTCATAAGAGTAACATTTATTAAATGCTTTTTAGGTTCCAAGAGTTAGGACAAGTTCCTTATGTAATTATCTCATTGAACAATCACTTGTCTAAGATTTTGGGCTGACCTGAGACCTTATGTACTTGTTCACTATATTTCTGAGATTCACTTTCAACTTTTTTCTGTGTCACTAAAATCCCGCCATTTTTCCATTCATTGGTGCTAATAATACTTCTACATTTCAACATTTAGTTTCAACATGTATAGCTCTTAAATCTTTTAATCAGCAATAATTAGGCATTAGAACTGGAACTGGTGAAATCATGAGGTCAGCTTTTTTTTTTTTTTTTTTTGCAAATCCTGCCCTTCGCCAAATGGCAGTCCATTCTTTACATGGCAAAGATACATGGAAATGTTTTATGTGTTATAAACAAACATGGCAGCAGCCCAGCTGTTGAAGGAATCTTCATTTATAGAGACCATGGTGACTCGGCACTCTCCTGCTTCTTGAGACATAGGAAAGCAGCTTTTGCCTGAAGAACATGAGTGGCTGCAGAGTTTTCTAACAAATGCTTGTTGAGTAACCTTCTCTTGAATAACCTGTTGGTAGTAAGTTGAAAAGAGGGAAGTCAAAGCTGATATTTGTATTCATCTCATGTAAAATGTGTCAAGCTCACCTCATGTCTTCCTTTTTTGGCCACCCTATTCTAATGAGCATTCCCCCCCACCACCTCACAGGAACTGCCTCCTGAGCGTGGAACCTGCCATTAGCACCAAGCACCTCCCTTACCAGAGCTTCCAGCTCTTCGGCTTTGACTTCATGGTGGATGAGGAGCTGAAGGTGTGGCTTATTGAAGTCAACGGTGCCCCTGCTTGTGCTCAGTAAGTCTGCACGTCATTGTGTTTTCACAAGTGGGAAGTTGGTTCTGCAGTTGGGATAGTCTGTGGGTGCAAGTGTAGATGCTTTGCCTGCTGTGAGGGAGGATGCCGCAGTGATAGGAGACCCTTGTTGAGGACTCTGTCTGGCAGGGGGCTTTGCTGAGTCCATTTCCTTTCCCATTTTTCCATGTATTGTCAGCAGATAGGATAGTGCAGTGGCTCATGCCTATCAGCACTTTGGAAGGTCAAGGCAGGTAGACTATCTGAGCCCAGGAGTTCAAGACCAGCCTGGTCAACAGGGCAAAACCCCATCTCTACAAAAAAATACAAATTAGTTAGACATGGTGGTGTGTGCCTATAGTCCCAGCTGCTCCGGAGGCTGAGGTGGGAGGATCACTTGAGCCTGGGAGGTCGAGGCTGCAAGGAGCCATGATCACGACACTGCACTGCAGCCTGGGCAACAGGGCAAGACCCTGTCTCAAAAGAAAACAGTAAGTAAGCAGGTAGCCTGTGCTCAGGTGGGTGGGAGATACCATGAGAGTGTTAAAGCTCATTACTGCCGAGAGACCCGTGTGACAAGCGGAGTCAGCAGGATCCTATGATGTGGCAACCCAGAAGTTCAGCGGCTCCTGAGGCAGGAAGGAGTCTGAGAAGGCATCTTAGACATGGTGGATCTGGAGCTGGGGTGCAAGAAGAGGGCTCAGCTGCACCAAAGGGCGGTAGGGAGAGTCTTCTGAAAGGGGTGCAGCGTCCTACAGGTCCTCGCCCTGTCCTGGGCTCTGTGCAGGTCTGGGAGATGCCCAGAGGAAAAGAAGCTCCTGGGAACCTGCCCTCCGGAACTTCTGCTTCTCTTGGGAGAAGCCTGGCTGTAGCATGAGCATCACGGAGTCATGAAGGAAGGAGGAAGTTAAGTGGGGACCTTCTGTGGAAGGCCTTACATGTCAGGGAAAGTCACTCGTACTCAATTTTCTTGTGCTGCGGGTTCTGCTGAAGATCCACTTTTATCACGTGAAGACCCTTTTGGTTCCCATCTACATCTTGAAGAAATTGAGTGATTTTTCAGAATATTTAAGAGATAGTCCTGTACCTGCAAGAGACAGCATCAACACACAAGTTGTTCTTTGGTTAGAAGCTAGGCCTTTGCCATTGCCTGCTGGTTGTGACAGGCATGATTCGTCTTGTTCATTGGTCTCTGTAGCTGATAAGTGCTTATTAGGTGCCGCCTACCTGGTCAGGCTCTGTACAAGGCCCTGAGTTCACAGTGGGGAACAAAGAGACACAGTCCCTTCCCTTCATGAGAAGAGACTGGGCAGACAGGGACCAGGCAGATGTCAATTACAAACAAGGACAAGTGCTTTAATAGAGAACAAAGGATGTTGAGAGAGAATGTAACTGAGCCAAGTGCACATGATGGGAAGTGAGGTTGGACCGAGATCTGAAGGCGGAATGCAAGCTAGATGAGCTAAGCGCGGAAGAAGGCAGGGCTCTGCACCTTCCCTCACCGCATTGACAGTGCCCAGTCTCACCTGCTGTCCTTTCCATCAGGGATTTGGCCCTCCATGGTGCTCTAGACCTTACCCTCCTCCCGCTCCTGTCCTCTCATCTGGCTCATTTATGTTGTCACCTTTTCCCGTCTCTGCTGCATAGTTCATATCAGCATATGCATTCCCAGTGAATTTTCCCAACTATTCAAAAAGATGTTCTCCCCTGATGCCATATCCTGTTCTAATGATCACGCCTTCTCCAGTTCCCTTCACAGCCAAGCTCTGGAGAGCAGCTTCTGTACAAGCTGTCTTCTCTTCCTCTGTTTCCATCCGTGCTCTGGTCCATTCCAGGCTGGCTTCCATCCTGATTGCCCCACAGAAACTGTTCTTTGCAGGTCCCCAGCCAAGTCCTTATTGCCACTTCCAGCAGTCTCTTTCTGTCCCCACCTCCTTGGACCCGTCAGCAGCATTCGAGTCAGCTGACAGCCCTCGCTGAGCTGCCCTCCTGTCGTGGCTGGGCACTTGGTGCTGGGCAGGCTTGCCTCGGGAGGTGTGGGCAAGCTGGGCTCCGTCTTCCTCATCCAGTGCCTCTGGTCTTGGGCCTGGGTGTTCAGCTCCTCTCTCTATATATGATCTCATCGAACTTCATGATTTTAAAATTACCAGATTACATCACAGCCCAGAGATGCAGACTAGTATCTGCATCTGCCTTCCCTGCCAGAATGTCCCCCTACCTACCTCCCAGACTTGTTGATCTCAGTGGCCACCCGCTGTTCCCCCTAGAGCCTAAGCTGGAACTTGACAGTGATCCTGCCTTTGCTTTCTCTTCCCCTCAGGTTCTGTCCATCAGGGTCCCATGGGTTCTGCCTCCAGCCTCTGGAGTCCTCTGCCCTCCATTTGCACTGCCATCACCCTTGCACAGGTCATCTTCCACCATAGCGAAGGTTTTGGCACAGAGCCTCCTAACTGGGGTCCACTTCTGCTCTTGTCCCAGTGAAATCCGTCCTCCCAGAGCAGCCAGTGTGTAAAGTGGACACCAGACCATGCCATTCACCAGACTTCCCATTACACCTGGGACACAAACCATACTCCTCCCTCCACCTGCAAAGCCACCTCTCCAGCTTCACCCTAAGCCACCATTTCCCTGGATTGCTCTTATCTGCAGTGGACCTTTGTGATTTCTGTTACCTGTGTGTGGAATCCCCACCACCACCACCACCACTACCACCACCACATCTTACCATGGTTGGCTTCTGCTTTGACAAAACAACATCTTGAGGAAGCTTTCCCTGAACAGTCCTATCTCCAATTTTCTCTAGCCAGAGCCTTTGCAGTTTCCTTCATTACACTAACTGCCATCAAACTAACTCATCAGAAGATACTGTGTGTGTGTGTGTGTGTGTGTGTGTGTGTGTGTGTGTGTGTGTGTGTTTCTACCCTGTCATCCATTCTCTGCCTGCCTTCTATTCATCCCTGGGTCTTGGCTTAGCTGTCACTGAAGAGTCTTCCCCTGTTGCTGGGGAGTCTTGTTCAGTGTCCCTTCAATTATGCTGAGTTGGTCCTTTTCCTGGGTAGGGCCTGCCCCTCTGTGTAATGCAGGATGGCTCTTACACGCTCTTGAAGTTGCCTGCCTTCCCTGCCAGTTGTCTGTCTTGTTCACCTGCAAGGCCTTTCATCAGTATTTGCTGAGGGAATGCTTTATCTTCATGCAAAGCCTTCTGTAGCATTTGTATGTACAGTGGCAACCAGTTTTAGAAATGTGATCATGAAATAGACTTTCTAAGGTAGATCTTGGTAAAAATCAAAAACAGGAAAAACTGCCAGGCATGGTCCCAAGTGAATTGGCTTATGCCTATAATCCCAGCACTTTGGGAGGCCAAGATGAGAGGGTTGCTTGAGCTCAGGAGTTCAAGAGCAGCATGGACAACATAGCAAGACCCCATCTCTACAAAAAGTTAAAAAATTAGCTGGGCACGGTAGTACACACCTGTAGTGCCAGCTACTTGGGAGGCTTAGGTGGGAGGATCCCTTGAGCCCAGGAATTTAAGGCTGCAGTGAGCCATGATTGCACCACTGCATGCCAACTTGGGAGACAGAGCAAAACCGTTTCAAAAACAAACAAAAAACATTGATTTCTTTTTTTGCTTGCACTTTGACGAATGTCCTCAATGATGATTTTTAAAACACATTTCAGAAAGCTCTATGCAGAACTGTGCCAGGGCATCGTGGACATAGCCATTTCCAGTGTCTTCCCACCCCCAGACGTGGAGCAGCCGCAGACCCAGCCAGCTGCCTTCATCAAGCTGTGACGCAGGGGCACTCCCAGCTGCCTTGGCAAGAGCACGGGGTCCTGCTCCAGGGGACGGTGAAATGACTGGATTGCTCTTTATCCAGCCACAGTGGGGGAAAGAAAGGCAACTTCACAAAGATGGGATGGAAGAAGGCATGTGAGCAGAAGAGGCGACTCTCGAAGAGGGGGTTGCTCAGGGGGGCTTCCCGGGTGGAGCTCTCGGCAATGCTGTTGAGACTTTTGAAAACTGAAGCAAATGTCTCTGAGAAGAGAACAAAATATTATTCTTGGGGGGGAAAGCAGGGATTTATCTTTCTATATTCTCATCCTTTAAAACAACTTTGTACACAAAGGCAGCCTTGTGAGCAGAGCCCCTTCCCCTCTCCCCGGGAACAGCAGGGCACTGGGACCTCTGGTCGGTGCCTCCCACCCACTGCAGCCCTAGTGCCTTAGCTCCATGCCCGGCTGCAGCCCCGCTGCTCTGGGCCATGGATTGAACTTCAGAGCATTTTGGAAGTTGCCTGCGTGTTCCCCGCCCATCCGCTTCATAACACTCTGCTACACCAAGCTCTGGACAAGCATGCACCAACAGTCCTTAGTTTTGTGCTGGGCGCTGGCCTCTCGGCGAAGGTGGTCCCTCATCACCTTCCTGATGGTGTTTGGTCAGTCACCTGTCAGGGTTTGTGCGGGTTGGGCCCTAAACAGCATATGCTGCTCTAAGTCTGCTCTCTGCATGTTTTAGAAACAAAGTGGCAAGTCTGCCCTGAACCTGTAAGCATCAAATAAGCATGAGAGAGAAAAAACATGATATATTGCTTTACTTGATAGGTTGAATGTGGTAGGTCTTTCAAAATATGATGATTCAGTTTTTTTCTTTGTTTTAACCAGAATTCTAAATGCAAGTTTGCTGAGTTCCCTTTTTTTTTTAAACCTTTGTAAAAACCTCTCTGAGGATCAGAAGACAGTAAAATTCCACTCCCCAAGTGGCCCTGCCCCAGACACAGGTTGCTTTCCTCTTTTTGTTCTTCTTGTGTTCTGCAGTAGCTAGAGGGGCAGGTTTCCTTCCAGGAAGGATTCTGAGTTCCTGTGCATCAGGAGAATATATATCCTGCCTGAATGGAAAAGTCCTCTAGAATGGGAAAAAAGTGGTTTCAGCTCCACACAGGGTCTTGTGAGTCTCAACAAATGTGTACTGTTAGAAGTGGTTTCCACTTACTCAATTAACTAATACTTTGTAGGCTTTTCAGGAGGCCACATTACTAGCAGTAGGAAGAACAAGATGTCATTTGTGTTCGGTGTGAGCTGAGTAATCAGGCCTTTCCTAGAGTGTCCTGGAAATCACAGTGACCCATTGAAAACCGCACTCCTCCCCGGAACGTGGCATGTCCTTTCTTCATGCCTGTGTGCACTCCATTCGTTGTTTCTCCTTGGCTCACGAGAACATTTCTGCAGTCAGGTGAGACTTTTACAGAAGAGGAGAAAATGAATGCCTCCTTGAACATGATAAGATGTGAGAGCTTACAATGAAAAGGCAATGATGATAGAAGTTATTTCATAGGTGCGGCACTAGTTGATAGGATGTGAGGGCGTTACTTCGGGGTGAAGTGGAGAGGGTCCCAAATGAATGGGCTCTCATGGCAATTGGGAATGACAGTATAAATGTCCTGAGGGTTACCCAGAATACAGGTTTAAAAGTCTGCCTGTAGAGCAAAATAAAACAGTTAGTTGTAATTATTAATCCTTGAGGCCCAACGCAGCTGATGGGTTGGTGTTTGGGAACTTCTGAGAAGGGAGTGAAGTCTGATCAGATCCTGGGAAGAGGTATACCCAGTTAGAACGTATAGGGTGCTGGGTTCCTGGCAAGTCTGGGGGAGCTGGTGACAGGGAAAGCATGGACGTTTTTGTAATACTGTCACATGCTAACACAGGTTTGTAATTATCTTTTGGACCCAAATTACATTGACAGAGATAAGAATTCAGATGTTAGGAAGACTGTGAATCTTGATAGATTTTCTAAGAAACCTGAATCAATGGCATATATATTAGGGAAGTAAGACTTTAAGAAAAGAAAAAGTTATTCCTTATTCCTCATGTGGCTTCCAATAAGTATCTTATACACTTATTTCTTTTTTAAAAATATTTTTAAAAATTTTTAAATTATTTTTTATAGAGACGTGGTCTCGCTATGTTGTCCAGGCTGGATTACAGTGGCTATTTGCAGCTGCAATCATAGCACACTGCAGCCTCGAATTTCTGGGCTTGAGTGATTCTCCCGTCTCAGCCTCCTGGGTAGCTGGGACTACGGGTGCATACCAGCAAGCCTGGCTTTATTCATTTTTGGTCATGTGGAATGGCTGGTTCTGAACTGTTCCATTCCTTTCCATGATGTCCTTGACACAGAAGGTCATGCCTGGCTCCCAGTCAGGCCTCATACTTTTGGTCCATGTAAGTGCTGCCCGTTGCTGGGGGAGGAGCTATTGTTTATTTGGAAATATCAGTTGCAATCATGGTTCTGTCATTTGACTGCACAGTATCAGAGGAGCCTGTTAACCTCTCTGTGCCTTAGTTTCTTAGCCCATGAAAGAGATCATTGCCTGACCCAGGGACTACCTCAAGGGCTTTTGATGAAGACAAGTGACAGTAGGAAGACGCAAAGCCTTTAATACCAAGGTTCTCAACATTAAGCACATGCTGGAATGACTCATGAAGTTTTTAAAAAATGTTGGTGCCCAAAAAAAAAAAAACCAAAAAAACAATGTTGGTGCCCACTCTTCCCCGCTCCTCCTGGCCAATTAAATCAGAACCTCAAACAGCAACATCCTTTGAGATGCCTTGAACCACTGCTTGAGAAGGAAGGACACACACATTATTACCTTGGAAGAATTGCATAAGGCTTATGACTTAAAAAAAAAAATTCTTCTTGGAAACACAACCATTTCTTTAAGAATGACCAGATATTGCCATATGTATTTCTGGTGCAAGCAAATGTTGTCTAAGCAGTTTCTCTGTTTGCTTGTCATAGCAGCATTTGGAAACTCGAACATGAATTCATTTATGTAAATAGCTTATGAAGCTTTGACAACAAATGTAAACAGACATGAAATTATAAACCTGCTAAATATGTATTAAGGTTATTAATTATTGAAAGTCCCCTTGCCCCACACTCAACTCCTATGGCAATTATGAACTCCATTTTACCAAGAACATTTAAGTGCCTCAGCATCTGTATGATATAGTGGAGCAGGTGCTGGCATAGGTACCAGCTGACGTGTGTCACTAGCTCTGTGGGATGATTGCCACATACATGGAACACCTGGGAGTGCTGGAAATGTACTGGGACCGAAGGTACAAAGTGTGTTTTCATTCACAGTAGAGGCTGTGGCAAGCAGGAGGAGGTCCAGCCCTCTTGCAGGTGTGGTGAGAGGCTCTACTAGCAAAGACATGGGTGCCAGAGTGGGTTCCATGTAGCATGTGGGTGCTGTAGAGAAAATTCAATGATGTACATGACTGATCCTGGACACAAAATCTGTACTGGAGAGGAAATGACTGCTGAAATAAGGCAATTGTATGAATATTTAAAATGCCTGAAACACTAAAGTAAAGTAATGATATTTCAAGTGTTTTTGTGCCCTTTGGTTCTTGTTGACTGTCCCAGGATATCACTGGTCATTTAAATTCACCACACAATTAGCCGGGTGTGGTGGCGCATGCCTGTGGTCCCAGCTACTCCGGAGGCTGATGTGGGAGGATCACTTGAGGCTGTGGTGTGAGGCTGCAGTGAGCCATGTTCACACCACTGTACTCTAGCGTGGGAAACAGAGCGAGACCCTGTCTCAAAAATAAATAAATAAATAAAAATCCATGATGCCATTACTCAGGGGTAAACAGACTTGCTGTAAAAGACCAGATAGTAAATCTGCTAGGCTTTGCAAGCCATATAGGGTCTCTGTGTGTACTTTTTTTCTCCAACTCTTAAAAAATACAAAAACTCTTCTTAGCTCTTAGGCCATATAAAAGCAGGCCAAATGTGGCAGTAATTTGCTGACCCCAGGACGTTACCGGATACATAAGCGAACAGATTGTCCTTCAAAACTGACGAGCTGCTCAGTGAAGCACTGAGACAGTTTCAGCTGCCAGAGTCCCAGCCCATCGTTTCTCATGTGTCTTGTGTATTGTCTGCATCATGATACAATTTGTTAAGTGAGGCCTGTGGTTGTGAAAGAGAGTTGTGCGTGCATCACACATGGGGTGGAGCTGCAAAGGCTTCTGAAATCAGGCTACTTCATATAGCCAGACAGCCAAGAAGTTCTTAGAAAGCGTTTCACCAAGGCCAGGTTTTTAAGTATCTACAAACCTCATACACATCAGGTGCTTAGTCTTGTGGATAGAAAGTTTCATTAATGCAATTTGTCATTAAATTGTAACTTCCTGTGCAATAAGGCTGAATGCTTTGGGCATCTTTCCCTTGTATGGCTGGCCTGCCTTCTGTGGCTGCTTCTACTTCATAAATATACCTCTGGCACAGAGGAGGTTTCCATGCCAGAAGGCCTGGTATAGGCACCTCACTCTGAACAGGTTTCACAAACAGCATGACACATTCCTACTGGACCCAGCAGAGACTGCATGGGCAGGGTGCAGGGGGCAAGCAGACATGGACTTAGGCAGGCAGCTACTTAGGAGCCTGAGGGTGGACAGGTCCAAAGCCTTTGGTGGACTTCTCTTAAAGACTGGCCCCACTTGCTGTCAGTAACTGTACCTTCTTAACTTTAAGTTCTCCCATAGCCCAGAGGTGTAGTAATATTTTAAAGGTGTTTTCCCCAAAGCATCCCTCTATATCTTCGTCTATTTTGTATTGCTGTAATAGAATGCTACAGAGAAGTATATTTGGCTCACAGTTTTAGAGGATGAGAAGTCCGATATCAAGGGGTCATATCTGGTGATGGCCTTCTTGCTGCCTCATAGGATGGCAGAAAGCATCACATGGCAAAACAGAAAGGGAGTCTAACTCATCCTTTCACCAGCAGCCCACTCCTGTAATAACTAACTCAGTCCTGGGATAACATCATTAATGTATTAATGAGAGTAGCGCTCTCATGACCTAATAATCACCTCTTACAAGTCCCACCTCTCAACACTATTGTAATAGAGATTAACTTTCCGACACGTTTACTTTGGGGAACACATTCAAACCATAGCAATCCCTAAAGGCAAAGGAAAATGAACCCCTGTCCAATGCAGTACATAGTAGCACAACTTATAGATTGTTACAAGCATAATTCCTTTTAAAACTTAGGAGAGGACATCAGTAGGAATAATAAAGTAAGAACCTCTGAAAACCCTTTCTTCCTTAAAGCAATGAGAACACTAGCAAAACTGTCTAGACATTAACCAGAGGCTTGCAGCCATCGATTTATTCAAGAAAAGGGTTGCATGTGGGTAAGAAGAGGTTTCTGACATTTTAAGAGACCCTATTCCCACTCTCCCTTTCCCAAACTCCATAACAGCCTTGGTCACACAATCATGGTGACATCCGGCAGCCAAGCCACCACTGTAGGGCTCAAAAGGGGATTGGAGCTCCTCCAAAGCCTCATTACCAGGGAATTGCCATTTGATCTTTTTGGTAGTTCCAGGTAAGTGTCAACTCCTAGGTTCTGTCTTTATTTGATGTGACTAAGAGGTTACCCAGTGTGAACAACCTTTTCCCTGGGTGCATTTGTCAGAAAAAATCAACAGCAATTCTTTAACATCTCAACTTCCTAAGATGGCTGGAAGTAACTGTCAGAACAAAAAAACTGACCAAAAGACTTAGAAGAAAAAGCTGGGAATGAGATGTCAATAAGATGTTTCGAGAAGCTTTAACCTATTCCTGAGAATACAGAAGGCCACACATGTGTATATGGCTGTGCACATGCCCAAAGAGA